AGAAACACCTTCTTTGGCTTGAGTTTCTTCGCTAACTGGTGGCTTAGACTCGGATGTGGGTGCTGTAGAAACACCTTCTTTGGCTTGAGTTTCTTCGCTAACTGGTGGCTTAGACTCGGATGTGGGTGCTGTAGAAACACCTTCTTTGGCTTGAGTTTCTTTGCTATCTGGTGGCTTAGACTCGGATGTGGGTGCTGTAGAAACACCTTCTTTGGCTTGAGTTTCTTTGCTATCTGGTGGCTTAGACTCGGATGTGGGTGCTGTAGAAACACCTTCTTTGGCTTGAGTTTCTTTGCTATCTGGTAGCTTAGATTCAGACAAGGATGGAAGAAGAACATCCGATGTTTCTTCTTTTTCAAAACTGGTTGCCGGAATTGTCTCCGGTACAATAGCCTTTTCAGTGTGCAACTGAATTTCGTCTACCCCAGTTTCAATGTCGACATTAACTGGTAGCTTACTTTTAGATAAGGCATCCTCCAATCCTTCTTCTCCAGGACTTGTAGGTGGTCCTTCCTCTGCTACTACAGCCTCCGTGGATATCAGACTGGTGTCTTTCTTGGCTGGAGTTTCTTCACTAACTGTTGAGAGTGAAAGGACATCGCCCAAATTTTGGTCTTGTTCAGAACTTATAGATAGCGATTTGTCTAATGCGACACTTTCGTCTGTGGGTGCTGGAGTCGTGTCCATCTCAACTGGTGTATCTTTACAAGTACGAGGTTCGGGCTCAGAAGAAGGTGAAACAACATCTTTTATTTCTGGAGTTGTTGGGTGGAGAGATGGTTCTGGAGACGGTTGAGTAACTGGAGTTTGTTCAGATAGTGCGGTGCTTTCATCCACTGCCAGTTCTCCTGGAGTCTCTCTTGGTGGTGGTGACATCGAAGTGACGGAACTCTTTAGTAAGATTTTACAAAAGGTTACTTGTTTGGAATTTCAAATCACTCATTTACCTATTCATTATAATAAGCTGTTAATGTTATTGTTAAAAAAATACTTAAGTTTCTATTCTACGTCCTAAAAAATTGTATGAATTATCAAAAAGAAAAATTATTCTACTTTAAATCATAATAGAATTTAAATTTTATTCAACGCATATACTTCTTCTGTAAAACTGGAATAAAAACAATGGTTACTACTTACCCAGTAATCCACTAAATTATAGCAATGATTACAACTTACTAAGTAACATCCTCAATGAAAATAGTGACTGATAATTATAAAATAACACACTCAATAAAAACAATGGCTACTACTTACCAAGTAACCCACTCACTTATGGCACTGGCTACTACTTAGCAAAAAACACCCTCAATGAAAACAATGGTTACTACTTACAAAGTAACACCCTCAATGAAAACAGTGGCTACTACTTACAAAATAACACCCTCAATGAAACCAATAACTGCTACTTACAAAGTAATACCCTCTATGAAAACAATAACTGCTACTTACAAAGTAACACCCTCAATGAAAACAGTGGCTACTACTTACAAAATAACACCCTCAATGAAACCAATAACTGCTACTTACAAAGTAACACCCTCAATGAAACCAATAACTGCTACTTACAAAATAACACCCTCAATGA